GCAAACGCGACTGAAGCGACGAGGAAGCCCAGAGCTGTCTTCATGGTAATTAGATCACGCTAGTTGGTCGCGAAATGGGAAATGGCGCAGTGTAGGATTGCCTCGCAGCCACTTGTTTCGTATACAGGTAGTACCCCGAGGTGCCCCGTACACCCGCTTTGCCACCTGTTGAGCTACTTGTTGAACATGTGGTCGGGGGCGGTGGCCATCCCGGGACAGGCACGACCCACCAACTCGTTGTGTGTCGTTTCGTCGACGTCGGATCAGTGAAGAGAAAAAGAAAGGAAAGCGCCCTTGCACCTCCTTGTTCTCTACATGTGCTGGAGTAACAAGGGCTGGAGTCGACTCTAACTTTGTTAATCCAGGCTCGGTAATAGAAACCTGTGCACACTTTGGAAATAGCTCGGATCGTGATGCAGCTTGTGTCAAGGGTCGAGTTCGCACTTTCGGCTCGGGCGTCGACTGGTCGTGAACCCTACAGTCGCCGACGGGGGCCGAAAGCTGGTCGCGGCTTTCCCGTGTTGCCCGCGCTCGTTTGTTGATTCGAGTTGGTGGTGGTGGACGCAACGACCCTGCTGCAGTTGAGGAAGTATTGTTGGCCTCCGTAGATTGCCATTTTTCGATTTGCTTGGTCCATCATCACTATGACGTTTTTGACGACGGAGGATCTCAAAATGTGCTTTTCGCTATTCTGCTGTGTCTACGGCATCGGCACTCTCGGTATGCCAGCCAACTACGCCCGCGCCGGCTACTACTGGGCGACGGGTGCGCTCATTCTCATGGCTGCCATCAACGTCTACGCGTCGTGGTGCATGGCCAAAGTCATGATGGTCGCGCCGCGGAACGTCAAGACCTTCGGAGACCTCGGTGAGTGGTCCATGGGCTGCTTCGGCCGGTATGCGGCCAACATCTCACAGCTCCTCGTGTGCGTCATGGTGCCCATTATGTTCCTCGTCCTCGGCGGGTCGATCCTCACGACGCTTTTCCCGTACTCATTCAAGGACTCGACGTGGATCATTGTCATGGGGGTCACGCTCCTACCCGTGTGCCTCATCCCGACGCTCAAGGAAGGCGCCGGCGCGGCGTTTGCCGGTGCGCTTGGCACGATCCTCGCCGACGCAATTGCTGTTGGCGTCCTCGTCACCAACATCAGCGAGGCCAACGCCGGCCTCTCGGCACCAAAGCCGGACCTCTCTTTCAAGCAAGTGTCGACCGTGTTTGGCAACCTCGCGCTAGCGTACGGCGCTGGCATTGTCATCCCGACTTTGACGCGCGAGCACTCGGAGCCGTCGCGCATGCCCCGGGTCATTGTCGTCACTCTGGTCATCGTTTCGATCTTCTTCATGATTGTCGCCGTCACTGGCGTGTACGAAGTCGGGTGCCAAATCCCCGGCAACCTCCTCTTTGCGATCGCCGGTTCCAAGCTCGGGTTTGCAGCTGACCGGGGCGCCGTCGCCCTCGCCTTCCTCTTCATGCAGCTGCACATCTCGGTGGCGTTCGCCGTCGTCATGTTCCCGGCCTTTTACATTGCTGAGCGCATCTTCCTGCGCATGCACAAGACGACAATTGACCGGAACGAGCGCATCGACCCGAACGCGGTCCTCGAGAACGACGCGGTTCTCGAGGAGCAAACTCCCAAAGACGTCGAATACCCGTCGTTTGACGCCGCCGCCGAGTACCGCGTCCCGGGCAAGTATCTCCAGGTTGCCGTCGTGCGCACTGTCATGGTCGGCCTCGCGGTCGTCGTCGCCATTGCGTGGAAGGACAAGTTTAGCGACCTCCTCGACTTTGTCGGCGCGTCGTCGACGGCAACGTCGTGCATGATCCTCCCGCTGATCTTCTACCTCAAGACCTTTTGGCGCAGCATCGGTAATGTTGAGCGCGCGGTGGCTTTCTTTTGCACGATCGTGTCCATCTTCTTTGCCATTTACGTCTCGATCACGACGGGCAAGACGCTCTTCGGCACCACTTCGTCGACCAGCGTCAACTTTCCGTTCTGCCACGCCGCGTTTCAAGACGTCGTGTACACGAACCGCTCGCACTACAACTACACGTCCAACTAGTAGTGTTGCTAAATGTGTCTTCAAAAATGTGGTGTGCTCTTGCAAGTATCTTGGTCGACTCCGGCGTGATCGTTGTGTAGACCGTTAAGCGCACTGCGTTAGCAGCTACACCGTAGTTTGGAGCTTCATCCCCCGTCGCAGGGTGTTGGTTGGCGAGAAAACCATAGGCAACGCAGGATACGTATGCATTGCGTGAACCATCCTTTATGGACGCCACCGACTCGAAAACAGTATGAGAACCTCTAGTGTACATTGGGAGCGCCCCGTACCAGTGAACTCACGTGTCCGAGTCAATGACGCACATGCGGTGCTTGTGGCCGAGTCTCTTGCTGATGCCGCCAGTGTTTGGCAGCAGCGCGCCATTCGCAATCCATGACGCGACTCTATCGACTGTCGCAGATGACCAGCTGCGCCGCTGCAAAGGCAAGGAGCGGCGCGACACGTCGCCAGCTTGCGTCTTTTGGTGTCCGCTTCCATCCATCCTATCGGCGGCGTCTACTGCATGTGCAGGAAAGCGCAGCGGAGCGCCATGTACAGTCGTGGATGCGAGGAAGAAGAGGACCTTGTTCTGGGCGAAATGGCGTCGGTAGCGTCACGAGTGCAAGTGGGCGCGCGTCTGGTTCCTCGAATTGCCTGTCAACGCAGGGGTGGCACCTGCTCAGACGCAGCGTTGCATACATGCTTACTTTCTTTTTTGCGGAGCATCATCGGGTGCCACGGGTCCCACGGAGGCGCGGGTCGCACAATGCAACGGGTGCCAATGGATAACAAGGGCGATCGCCAGGCGCACATTCGTGGACGGGAGACGACGCCACCTGCGCTTCAACGAGACGGCGCGTGCGGGCGTAGAAAACACCCAGCGTGGGTGACCGTCTATGATTTGTTGATGTACGCAAGGTTGGTGAAGACGGCGGCGCTGTTCGTCGGTCGGTCGTTGTTGAGTAGACAGCCCCGCGTCGTGGGCGCACTTTGCGAAAGCTACTTCTTCCGTGTCCATGACCCGCTTTCTTTCTCGCCGAGTGTCGTTCCACCGTCGGCGTCGCCCCGCCCCGCAACGTGGCCGTCTCTCTGTGACACATAAACACACATATGGTGGGCGGGGTGGTGCAGCCTGATCCGAGCGCAAGAATCACGACGCTCGTCGGTGGATGCAGTCCGTGGCTTCTGCGAGTCTGTTGAGTGAACACCGCCACTGTTGGACAAACAGCAGGGTCCAGTTTTTCTCCCATTTTCCAATTTGCCTTGTCTAGCAACAAGACCAATATGGCTTTCTTGACACAGGAAGACATCAAGATGAGCATCGCGCTCTTCTGCTGCATGTACGGTGTCGGCTCGATCGGTGCCCCCGGCAACTTTGCCATGGTTGGCTACGGCGTTGGCATCGTCATCGTCATTGGCATGTGCATCGTCAACATGTACGCGTCGTGGTGCATGTCCAAGGTGCTCCTCATCGCGCCCAAGCACGTCAAGACTTTTGGTGACATTGGCGAGTGGTCCATGGGTATCGTCGGCCGGTACGCCGCCAACCTCTCGCAGCTTATCGTGTGCGTCATGATTCCGACCATCTTCCTCGTCCTCGGCGGCTCGATCCTCTCGATGCTCTTCCCGCTCACGTTCAAGATCGGTGTCTGGATCACCTTTATGGCCCTCGCGCTCCTTCCCGTCTGCCTCTACCCGACTCTCAAGGAAGGCACGGGTATCATCTTTGCCGGTGCTCTTGGTGCCGTGGTCGCTGACGGCATTGCCCTTGCGGTCCTTGTTCACAACGTCACCAAGCAGAACGACGGCCTCTCGCCTCCGCCGGCCAACATCAACTTTGACCAGTTCTCGACCGCTGTCGGCAACTTGGCGCTCACATTCGGCGCCGGCACGATCATTCCGGTCCTCCACCGCGAACACTCGGACCCGACGCGCCTTCCGCGTGTGATTGTCTTTACGTACACGCTCGCGCTCATCTTGATCCTTGTCGTCGGCATCGTCGGCTTTGCGCAGGTCGGGTGCCAGATCCCGTACGACGCCGAGGGGTACCTCCTCTTCGTTGTCGCGACGCCGTACCTCGGCTTCATCTCGGACCGCGGCACAGTCATCCTCGCCCTCGTGTCGATGCTCGTGCACAACATGGTGGCGTACGGCGTCGTCATCTTCCCGAGCTTCTTCATCCTCGAACGCCGCCTCCTCGGTCTGCACCCGACGGTCATTGACCACACCAACAACTACAACGACCTCGAGACGCCTGAGGCCGAGAAGGAACGCAAGTCGGAGGCCCGCGCGAGTCTCATGGACGCGCTCGAGTTCCCGTCGCCCGAAACCGCGGCCGATTACTCGGCGCCTGGCGCGTACCTCAAGGCCTCGATCCTTCGCACGCTCGTCGTCGCTGTCTCGGCCACGGTCGCCATCATCGGTCAGCGCGACTTGACGAACCTCGCCAACTTTACGGGCTCGAGCATGATCCTCCTCTGCTGCGTGATCCTCCCCGTCATGTTCTACGCCAAGGTCTACTGGCAAAAGATGTCGGCCGTGCACAAGGTGTGGGCGATCCTCGTCGTGCTCCTCGGCGCCTTCATCGCGATCTACGGCTCCATCTACACGGGCAAGATCCTCTTCTCCAAGAAGAAGGAGCTGCCGCTCTTCCCGTACTGCGAGGCCAAGTACCAAACGACGGTGTACACCAACCGGTCGCACAAGCCGTACAAGACCGCGACGCCCAAGCCGACGCCCCTCGGCTTGTAAGCGCTATCGTTTCGTCGATTGAAAAGTCTAATGTGAAGCGTGTTCTATTTGTTTACTCCTTTGACCTCTTCTTAGGTGTTCTCAGAACGGGGGTCACCAGTGGGTGCAGACAGACGTTCTCAGTTGAAGTTTGCTGCTCGTCAAGATACTCTTCTATCCAGAAGCCCAGAATTTTCCGAGCCGCTTCGGAGCTGGGCACCGAGTCTTCAGCAGAGCTGTTCTGCTCAGGTGACCCATTCCGCTGACGAAACGACGCCTTCCTCCCTCAAGAAACATCCGCGAGAACAGTCCCCCCACTCTGGCCGAGAAAAGGACCGCACCACAAGGCAATTCAAAATTGCCGTATACAGTAGTTCAATCTTAACACGTCGCCGTTCCTTGGAGGCAAGACGCAAGACGTGAATTCCAGGCGTGCATGGATGTTCCACGCCGTTTGGTTGGGCGCATACTTTTCTAGGCATTTTTTGCGATCTTCCTTCCATATCCGGCGTCGCGTCCGGCCAGTGCCGATCGTTCTCAAAGTCGCCTCACGACTGAGGCGGCGCTCGTGTCAACGGTACTTGACCACGGCTGTCCGAGATGCTGCAACCTCTGCGCCCGCCTGTCCGCGACTACACGCGCCTTCCGCGCGCTGTGCCCGCACCTCAAGCATCTCTTCAAGGCCCACGTCGCGCCGCAATTTTCATGGGCACGGCTGCTGAAGAGATGGTGGCCTTTGCGCCCGTTGCCGGCACTGCGTCGCTCCCTCTTCGCCGTGCGTCCATCCAGCGTCGTACAGCCTGTGATGCAAACATGCTTTTAGGCCGATTTGGAGGTCGGGGTTTTGTGGGCATAGTCGCTGTGTGCGTCTGCCTCATGCTCGGCGCCCTGCTGCACACTCGTGCTGTCATGCCACAGCGCCTCGATATCATGACGCAGATCCAGCAGTCGTCCGCACTGCGCTTGACGCTGCACGCAAAGCGAAAGTCCATGGTGCTCAACGGCCTCGGTTCCGCGACCATCTACGTCGTGCCCCACGGGCGCAGCGGAGGTAGCTTTGACGCTGTCCTCACCCAAGCCGGCGTCAACGTGACTGAGACTTACTTACTCGTCAACGACCGGGCTTACTACATTGTGAGCCATGCTAACGCCGTCGTCTCGGTCAACTGCCTCGACCCGTCGCAGTTGCCGCCATTGCATTCGGTGCGCATGGTTTCTCGTCGAAAGCTGATCGCCAAGTAGATGCAAGTGAGTTTGAACGAAGCGACAATCGTCGACGCGGTCGAGATGGCGTCTCCAACGATCTCGCCTGGCGACTGCCTCGGTGGCAAGTGGCTGCAGCTGCGCTTTGCGGGCGAAACATTTGTCTTCTGCAAGTCGCCGACACATATGCTTACGCACGCCATCAGCGAAGACTTGGACATGACGATCGAGTACATTTCAGACCCTTCTCAGATCCCGTCGCTGGCTGTGCCGCCACCGCCCAACGAATCGTTGCTCGAGTGTCCGTTGCTGTCTGGCTACAGCCGCCTCCCGACGCTGCCAGCGGCGCTGCAGTCACCTGCGGCGCTCAACGATCTTCCTGTCGAGCCGCGCATTGCTCGTCTCGGCGCCGCCTCGTGCCAGTGCAAGCTCGCACAAAAGAAACCGTGTCTCTTTGTCCACGGCCTCGGCAAGCCGTTCGCGTCTGATCCGACCAACTCGGACGGGCTCGAGTGGGGCTCCATCCAGAACCACGCGCCGTGCTGCTCGTCGACCACATTCGTGCACTTTGAAACGTGGAAGCATGGCTGGAACAACGACGAGATCCAGAACCAGTTCTGCGACACAGCCCGGCGCGCGAGCCTCTCCAGCTCGACGACAATCCAAGATCTCATCCTGGTGACATACTCGATGGGCAACCTAGTGGCGGGTGGTGCCGTTGCGACCGGGAAATGTAGTTTCGGCAGCGGCATTTCCTGGATCTCGATCGCAGGTCCAATGCAAGGGAGCAAGACCGCCAACCTCCTTGAGCGCAAATGCAAAGAGGGCGGCTGGAACATCCCGCTGAAAGGCCTCTTGGAGCTCATCACACTCTGTCCCATGACCGACGCTTTAAAGTCGCTCAAGGACATGTCCACGGTCGACGCAACACTGCAAGCTTCGTATCGAGCTGCCCAAGTCATTCGCGCCAAGTACGCGACGAAGCTTCTCTGCGGCAGCAGCCCGTTCGGGTTGGTGTCAGTGTACGCGCCTGTGTTGAGCCTTGTCAGCAAGCTCACACACCACGACGATGTCAATGACGGCGTCGTCGCCTTCTCGAGCTGCGCTGCGGGGTTCTCCAAATCTTCATTCTCGACCAACTTTGCCGACGATGGCAACTACCTCGCGAGTGTCAACCACCTCGATAACTCGTTTCGCCTCGGCGATGGCTGGTGGGGCGCCGACCGCAAGCCCACAAAGTGGTTCGAATGCGCCCTATAGAATGGCTGTGTTTATGGTTCAACAAGCGACAGCCTTTCTTATAATCATGATTTCAATCCTCAACAATCAAGATGTTGATTTAGAGAAGGTTTTAAGCTCTGGATCAATACTGTGTTAGCCCCGTGTGAAAGTAAGCCACTGGTATTTGCAACTGCTCTTCACGAGTGCGTTCTGAGAGCCCAAGTCTCCTGAAGCCAGTGATGAAGTCGGCGTGATGTGCTACTCGAAAGTCGAGTTGCAGGAGGGGGCCTCAAAGCACCCGCAATCGGGACTAGATACTGCGCTCTGCTACCACAACGCCTCCGATTTCTACTCCACATTGCTAGAACCAACTTAGAGACTGGGAAACGGCCTAAAAAGCAGATGAACGCTCTATTATCCGACAACACAAATCGAGATGGGAAAGTCGTGGAGCTTCTTGACTGTGCCGTAGCCACACGCCGCCTTGACGCTGGCATCATCCGTCGTAAACTGCGGGTAGAAGTACGTGCGGTCCGTCGCAGCCGAGAGGAGGTCAAACATGTCGGATGAGAGCGAAAATTCCTTGAGCTCAAACTTGCTCGTCGTCCAAAAGACACCCTCCGGGAACGTCACGCGGTTGATCTTGGAGATTGGGTTGTTGGAGACGTCCCTGCGTTGCCCACAGTGAGTTGTCATGGCCATGGAAGAGCGAATTGGTACATTTGCTGGGGAAGTGCCATGTCCTGGAGGGCTGTAATGTTGTTGTTCTGAAGCGAAATCGCGTTCGGCAGCGTGCATGTCGACGTGAACGCAGAGATTGCGTTGTCCCGCAGCGTGATCGAAGACAAATGGGCCAGCCAGTCGCAGTTTGCTGGGAGCTTGGTGATTTTGTTTGCGTCGAGCGCACTACGAAACACGTCACCTCACGGAGCGAGAAACCAGTGACGCACAGGATGCCCACGGACGCCGGGAGACTAAAGTCGTCTGGGATGGATGTAATCGCGTTACTGTCAAGCTCTCTACAGCAACGCATGAGTGACTCTTCAAGCCGGCAAGACAAAACCTACAATGTGAAGAGGTTGGGCCACTCGATCTTGGACGGGAGCGATGTGATCTTGTTGTGCGTCAGGCCGCTACGTCAGCAACATTGAGATCGCCGAGAACGAATGTTACGAGCATACATGTAGTGAATCGAGTCGGGAAAGTCGGTCTTGGAAGGAAACTTGGCAATCTTGTTGGAAGCAAGGTGTCTACGCAGCAACAATTCGTGAGATTCAAAGGTCCTTGGCGCCAAACAGTCGTACACAATGTTTAGGTTGGACGGCAGGTTGGCAGGCAGCACCGCCAGCTGCGTGTTGGTCAGCGCCCTGGACCATAAGTGTTAGGACCAGAAACGACAAAGGACCAAGGGTGTACAGTTCGGTGAGGGTTTCGGGCCACTGCTGCTGGGCGTCGATGGTCTTGAGGGGGTTTCCCGAGAGGTCCCTAGTTTTCGCATTAGCTGGTGGTTTATACATGCTTCCGACCGTACAGTTTTGTCAGTGTGGATGGGAGCTTGACGACGCTACTGAACTGGTTGGACGCGAGATTGCTGTCAAACGTTAGACAAACATCGAAAGGAGTCGTCGTCGTACAGTTCGGTGAGGTTGCTCGGCCATGTAAAGTAGTCGTTGAACGACTTGATCTTGTTGTTGCTCAAACTGAAGAAGCCGAGACCGTCAGGGAGCGGAGTCGTTGTAGGGTACGACGTCAGCTTGTTGGACGAAAGATCTCTGAGAAAACAGCATGAGTCCATAGCGACAAGCGCGACGCGTACAGATGAGTGAGCGACGCCGGCCACGTGAAGCCCTTGGGGATGGTCTTGAGGCTCACACGGTTGAGTGAGCTACGTATCGTGGTGAGCTTTCGTGGCAGCGACTTAATGTCGTTGTACAATTTTTTAAGGCCATCGGGCAGCGACACGCCCGTGAGGCAAAGGCTCGAAACGCGGGAGATGGTCCTATGTAGCATGAGGATGTGCATTGTCCAAGCAACCGGCGTACTTGAGCGTCTCTTTGGCGCCGTCGTAGCGAACTTCGAGGTACGTGCCGTCGGTCGTGAGCGTCGTTTCACTGGCCAACACTCATGAGCCATGCAGCAGATCGAGATTCACACGTACATGGAGGTAATGTTGGGCAGAGCGAGGACATCCTTCCAGATCGGGTTCGACGGCGTCCGCTTGGCAGCGTCAGCGCCAATGGCCAAGAGAGCGACCCATGCGAGGACTTGCATGCTAATTGAAATCTGACGCGCTCTCCCAGGCCAGCCGAATTTCGAAGTACCACTGCGCATGGTATGCAGCTGCATAGACTGGGCGTTTCCCGCACCACGCGGCAGAGTGTGCGTCAACTTCGACTTTGGTTCGTCTCGCGGATCCGGTCTGTGGAACGCCATGTGTTCGGTTCGCCGAGCCTTCGTCAGTGGCGCGACAGCGACTTGGCGCGACGACATCGCTGCTTCAAGCTTGCAATGCACCGAGTGGTGCAGGACACCTTGGCCCTCGCCAGCCACACACGGTGCAATAGTGCCCTATACAATGTCAAAGTGTTGCGTCGACGGCCACAGCATGTACTGTACTAACGTTAGTTCTATACAGTAGTGCTAAAGGAAGAGCTGGTGGGTGTACGGTTGCGTGATTTCCAGCCACACGCACTCGAAAACAATGTGCGTCCACAGCACAGAAGCGCACACACCCTTCTTCGGGCTGGATGGATCTGAAAAGGCCAAATCAGACGCAAGCTCAGTTACCAGTCTTTGCCGCAGCACAAGCACTTTTGGTGGAATGCTGATGCAGATTACATATCGCCAACCCCAGCGCTGTTCAAGCTGGTCCCATCATGCGCATCCTACAATTGTCGTTCATCGCCGACGCCCAAGGCCTTGAGCTGTGTAAGCAATTGCCGTAGCTGCGCCGGGGTCGCATCGAGCTGGCTCACGTTCAAGATGACGTCGCCGGGGGGTGTTACTCGCGCCTCTTGAAAAGCATCTGCCGTCTGGAGCTGTCCTTGCAATCCCCCAGGCCACGACTCTGACGGGCGATCTGTTGCTGCATCGAAGTGCGGCATCGTATAGTACCTCGCGCGACGCAAGGGCATGTGGTGGCTTTGAAATGGGTCTGCCGCCGGCCGGTCGTCGGGCCACGACAACTGACGCTCTGGATGCGGCCGCGAGGCCGCGTCACGCATGTAGGACGATAACGCTCTCGGCAGTGGTCTGTGGTGCTGTAGCTTCTCGTCGTCACAAGTATACGCCTGGAGGGGTGCCTCGTTGTTGTCTGTGGGCATCGGTGGCAAGTCGATCCCAGCGCCGGTGGCACACTTGTGACAGACGCAGACGCATGTGCCGCGCAGTTCCCAGAGCTTGCTGCAGTGCTTGCAAACGACTTCGCCGCACTTTCGGCACTGCCGCTTGGCGACAAACGGCGAGAACTTTGTGCTGCAGAGAAAGCAGCTGCGGCGCGTCGAGAGTGGCACGAGTTGGTCGTCGGTGAGGCTTGCTGAGCCACAGAGTCGGAGTTGTCGGAGGAACGTGTCGATCTCGACGATGCTCCTCACGCGGCGCTTCATGGCGGCACGCACAAGCCACGCCGGAAGCGCGCCCGCGAAGTCCGACTGAATGACGTGGACGCACTTCAAGTGGCCCGGGAGCGTGCTCTCGAAGAAGACGTATCCTGCTCGAAACAAGTTTGCACGAACGAGGCCCGGGAAGGGAGGACAGGAGGGCAGTTGGATGGAGCTGAAGCTGCGAGCCCAGCCGCGAACACCGTTGAAGGTAAAATCGTCTTGACACTATGGGCCATGTCAGTTGGACCACGAAATCGCTATGCTCTACCTCAAGGAGGCAAAAGTCACGGTCCTTTACAAGCGGGCTCGGCATGCCGACCGCGAGCCATTTGACGCCAATGTAGTTGCGCGGGTGCTCCGGGGTACGCGGCGCTAGTGTATATAAAGACGCGTAGTCGGCGATATCCTTGGAAAAGCGAGCACGATACTGACGGACGGCGTCGGTCGAGTCGAGTACAAAGAGCGATGCGGCTTCGACGAGCGTGCCTTGAAGTTCCATGACCCCGCATAGCGTAATGTTGACGTTGGGGGGTGCTAGAGGGTCGATGCCGGTGAAAATGCGCACGCCATCCGCGTCCGAGTCGAGCGACCACAATATCGGGCCTCCTTCGAGGCGGGAGTGGCGGACGAGGTCTGTGAGTGACTGCAAGCCCGTCTGAATGAGCTTCAGCTCGTCTGCAGGTTCGAGCGGCGGAGTCTCGAAGCGCGCACACGCCGCTGGCACCTTCCTTGCCTTGGTCATCCAGAACAATCCCACACGAAGGCGTCTTTTTCGGCGATCAGGTTCGTGTGACACACAGCGTCGAAGTAGTCAAGAAACTTCGCCTTTCTCGCTTACAATTGCCAAGATAGACACATACCGGTACTTCCAAACTTCGAGCAACGTGACGTGGCACGTGGAAACACGGGAAGTTTGACACAAGATACGAATTGTACTTGAGTTCAGCACCCAGTTGTGTTTTGAGATGCTATCGCACGCCTACAAGTGCGTAGGGGGTACTGTGTCTTGCCCATAGAGCAGAAGCTTCTTGAGCTCGTTGTACAGACCTCGAAGCTGTTCGGGCGTATCACGACCTTCGAGTGATATGCCGAGCGTGAGTCGAATCTCATTGACAACGCGAGTGGGTTCTGTCGGGTGCAACTTCGTCATGCTATGAGATGCTTCGTCGTCGCACTGCTCAAGCACAAATGGCTGATATGGTGGCTGCCGCAACGACGTGTCTCGGGCATTGCGCGGCCTGTCTTGGCCGCTCCGTAAGCATGGTTCGTTCTCGTAGAGATCGTCGCGGAAGTTGACAAAGGCCAAGAAGAAGCCGTGCAATCCTGACTGTTGATATGCGAGTGCCATTCAAACCGATTCAAGTCGCGGTGTTTCGAGACGCCGTCCGCTGGTGCGCGAAAACATGGGCTCTGGTCTGGAAGAGGAGAGACGTCGTTTCGCGCGATGCGGGCAGGGCGTCGCTAGTATCAAGCGCAGCACTAAGATGGGATGGCTGTTACGCTCAGCCTTGCGTCGTGCTTGTTGGTAACACTAAGGTGTAGTCCGAAAATGCCGACATGTATGTCTCTGAATCGATTGCGCTATCCGACGCCGCGCCACAGACTGTGTGGTCGAGCTCTTCAAAATTGCAGGTCGTTCCAGCGCCCTTTTGGGCGCAGATATTGAGAATGCGATCAACGAGTGGTTGGTCAGAGTAGCCGGCGAGTGGCCGCTCTTGACTCTTCCCGGGCCATCCATAAAATCGCTCGGCGATCGCAGCCTCATCAACCTGTCGTAGTA